CCCAGTATATACCCAGTATATACCCAGTCCAGCCCCAATATATACCCAGTATAAACCCAGTCCAGCCCCAGTATATACCCAGTATATAGCCAGCCCAGCCCCAGTCCAGCCCCAGTATATACCCAGTATAAACCCAGTATAAACCCAGTATAAACCCAGTCCAGCCCCAGTATAAACCCAGCCCAGCCCCAGTATATACCCAGTATATCCCCAGCCCAGCCCCAGCCCAGCCCCAGTATATACCCAGTATAAACCCAGCCCAGCCCCAGCCCAGCCCCAGTACAAACCCAGTCCAGCCCCAGTCTAAACCCAGTACAGCCCCAGTATATACCCAGTCCAGCCCCAGTACAAACCCAGTCCAGCCCCAGCCCAGCCCCAGTATATACCCAGTATATCCCCGGTCCAGCCCCAGCCCAGCCCCAGTATATCCCCAGCCCAGCCCCAGCCCAGCCCCAGTATATACCCAGTATAAACCCAGCCCAGCCCCAGTACAAACCCAGCCCAGCCCCAGTACAAACCCAGTCCAGCCCCAGTATATCCCCAGTATAAACCCAGCCCAGCCCCAGCCCAGCGTGCTCCGGACTCACCGGACAGCAGCAGCAGGTCGGTCCCGGGCCCGGAGCCGGCCCCACAGCAGTACCGCCCCACGTCCCCGGGCCGGACGTCCCGGATCACCAGCGTACCGTCCGCCTTCACGTCCCGCCGGCTCTCGGGGCCCAGCGGCGCGGCCAGAGCGCAGCTCCCCCCGGCGACGAACCCCCACCTGGCCCGCACGGTCTCCATGGCGACCTGGGGGTCCCCACAGCGCAGGAACACCCTCCCGCCCACCGAGGTGTAGACCTTCGAGGCGCCTGGAGAGAAGAAGGAGCAGACGCAGCTGGGTGAGCTCCTCCAGTCAGGACAGGAGGCTCTCCTGTACACAGAGGGTGGTGGGGGTGGGGAACAAGCCGCCCAGCCCTGTGGTTGAAGCGAAAAATCGGGTTTTGTTTCTCATCACGACTGG